TCAAAAAATCAGTGGGCGTGGTAGCGCATGCCTGTAATTCCAAATACTCGGAAGGCTGAGGCGGAAGGATCGCCGGAGCCCAGCAGGTCGAGGCTGCGGTGGCCGGGAGCGGCCACTGCACTCCAGTCTGGGCAACAGACTGAGACTCCAACTCAAAAAAAAAAAACCCTGTAAATTTATACTTCAGATTCTAGGGCAACCACTAAAAAACGTGGGGGGAAAAGTATAATTGATATGCAAAGAAAGGAGAAAAAACAGGATCACATAAAATTCCCAATTTAAGTTAAAAGGGGCAGAAAAATGGAAGACAACAATAAGAACAAGGAAAACAGATGGAAAACAGCAACAAATTTGGCAGATATTAATCGAACTATATGAATAATCATTTTGACTGTCAGTGGTCTCAATGCACCAATTAAAAACAGAAATTGTCAGGGTGGATTAAAAAATAATGCTTGGCATGGTGGCTCAAGCCTATAATCCCAGCACTTTGACTGAGGTGAGAGAATTACCTGAGTCCAGGGGTTTGAGACCAGCCTGGGCAACTTGGCGAGACCTTGTCTCTACAATAAATCAAAAGATTAGCTGGGTGTAGTGGCACACACCTGTGGTTCCACCTACTTGGAAGGCTGAGGCCAAAGGATCACCTGAGCCCAGCAAGTCAAGGCTGTGGTGGCCGTGAGCATGCCTCTGCACTCCAATCTAGGCAACAGAGTGAGCATCCTACTTAAAAAATAAAAATAAAAATAAATGAAAAATAAGACCCAACACCATGTTGTATACAAGAAATCCATTTTAAATATAAAGACATGGCCAGGCCAGTGGCTCACACCTGTAATTCCAGCACTCTGGGAGACTGAGAGGATTGCCTGAGCCCAGGAGTTTCAGACCAGATGAGCCTGAGCAACTTGGTGAGACCTCATCTCCACACACACAAAAAAAAGCCCAGGCATAGTGGCAGGCACCTGTAGTCTCAACTACTAGGATGGCTGAGATGGAAGGATTGACTGAGCCTGACTAAACATAAATATGTAAATATAAAGATGCATACAGAGTAACTAAATGGTGGTATGATCTGATCTGAATGTATCCCTTGAAATTCATGTTGAAACTTAACTGCCAGTGTGATAGTATTAAGAAATGGGACAGAGGTGATTATGTCATGAGAGCAGAGTCCTCATGAATGGGATTAGTGACTTTATAAAAGCTGGAGGGAAGAGGGTTCATCCCTTTTTGCCCTTTCAACTTTTCCTCCATGGAAGGACATAGTGTTCAAGATGCCACCTTGGAAGTAGAGGCTGTAGCACGCACCTGACACTGAACTTGCCAGTGGCTTGATCTTGGACTTTCAAGCTGTCCGAGCTGTGAGAAAATAAATTTCTGTCCTTTAACATTGCCCAGTCTGGTATTTTACTATAGCAGCACAAACGGACATAGACAAATGGACTAAGATATACCATGCTAACACTAAAGAAAGGAATAGCTTTATTTATTTCAGACAGAGCAGATTTCAAGACAAGAACGATTATCAGGAGCTGGGCTCGGTGGTTCAGCCTGTAATCCCGCACCTTTGGGAGGCTGAGGTGAGTGGATTGCCTGAGCCCGCGGGTTCGAGATCCGCCTGGGCAGCGAGACCTCATCTCTACAATAATTCAAAAAAATCAGCCAGGCGTGGTAGCGCATGCCTGTAATTCCGGCTACTCGGAAGACTGAGGCGGAAGGATTGCCGGAGCCCAGCAGGCGAGGCTGTGGTGGCCGGGAGTGGCCACTGCACTCCAGTCTGGGCGACCGAGTGAGACTCCAGCTCAAAAAAAAAAAAAAAAGAAACAAAGATTATCAGGGATAAAAAAGGGCATTGCATAATGATAAAGGGGTCAATTGTTCAAGAAGACATAATAATCCTTAATATGTATGCACCTAACAACAGAGCATCAAAATAAGTGAGGCAAGAACTGATGGAATTACAAGAAGAAATAGATGAACCCACTATTACAGTTGACATTGAGTTCAGGTCTTATTGATTGTATGACTGCTGAATATGTCCATTTCTGATAGAGGGGTGTTGAAATTTTCAACTGTAATAGTGGGTTAACTGGACATAATCAACATCTATAGACTACTTTATCCAACAACAACCAAATACATGGAACAATCACCAAGATAGCATATTTTGTGCCATAAAACACACTTTAACATATTTAAAGAATAGAAACCATGTAATGTCTGCTTTCAGATTAAAATGGAATTAACCTAGAAATCAATAACAGATAACTGAAATATACATGGAGATTAAACAACTTCTAAATTACACAAAGATCAAAGAAGAAATCTCAAGAGAAATTTTCAAGTATTTTACACTAAATGAAAACAAAACTTATCAAAATTTTTGGGGTGCAGTGCTTTGAGGGAAATTTATAGCACTGAGAGCATATATTAGAAAAGAAGGAAAATCTGAAA